TTTGCATTTAATGCCTATTTTCATATTATTATCCGTACATTAAAACAGTAGGTACTTTTTGTTCGTTGTGCATCCCGTTTATATATACCTATATAAATATTAATTATTGTTCTTCCTTTAATTCTCCAATATACGATTTAACCAGAAAACTATTCTATTTAAGAAAAGCCTAAAAACATACATGCTATTATTGCATTACTGTAACTTTTCTTGCATAAATTGTTCCTTACCAAAATATTTACTATAATATTGTATGCTTGTATATTTTGGTATACTAAAAATATAGATCATGTCAGTGGCGGACTTAACCCCTAAAATGGGCCCCTAGTCTGCTTATGAAATAGGGTGATTGTTTGGTCCTTCGCCACACTCTTAATGTAATCAGGGATGAAAATGGCTTTTTGGGATTTTTTTTAAATAAACACATTTAAAAAAAAGTAGCAATCAACAACTTAACATTTTTTTAATATCATTACAGAAAAAAATATAACTAAATATTGAATTAAATTAAATTGATTTAACAAAATAAACGTAAACGTTAAATATACTATGCAAAAAGAAGTTCATTAAAAATATCGAATTACAAAATAATATATGATGTATAAATGTAAATTACAAAATTATAATTTTATAAATCAAAAGTTATGTTAAAATGCCAATTTTTCTAAAAATTTCCCAATTTTTCAGTTTTTTTTTCGGAAAAAACGGTATTTTCGCCGCCTCAATTTTTCCGGAAATTTTAAAAACATAAAATTTTAGATAATTTTTTATTGGGCTTCAGATTTGGGGGCCCTTTTGGACCGGGGACCCGGAGTGGACCGCCCCCCTCTTAGTCCGCCACTGGTCCATGTGATATTTATTAAAACAAAAAAGAACTTACAAAAATAATACTATAAATTATATTTTATAATAAATTTTGTATTAAAAATGATACCTACACTTAAAAAATACATATTTTGCCTTAAAATACTTTTATAGTACCTATCTATTTATACTTCTTCCAGCACCGCGTAGTTTCATCGGCGGGCACTCATTTATGCCGCAGATGAAAAGCTTCGCAAACTTAAAAAAATATATATAAAAAGTGACGAAACGGTCCTGGTTTACTCAGGACAGATTCTGGTTTTTGCTAATGTGTCCTGGTTTCAATTGTGTACTGGTTTTGTAATGGTTTTGCAGATTTGGTCCTGGTTTGTACTTTTTTTATTTTTGAGTCAATAATATTGACGTTATTAGCACATCTCTAATATAGGTGATCTGATGTAGCTCTCACGCAACTCTCCACCATTTTTATGTGTCCTGGTTTCAATTGTGTACTGGTTTTGTCATGGTTTTGCAGATTTGGTCCTGGTTTGTACTTTTTTTATTATTGAGTCAATAATATCTAGCTCGCACGCACCTCTACACCATTTTTATCTAGTGACCTTTTCTAGTTACTTACTTATTTTAAAACAATGTTTTTACATTTTGGCTATGTTTTTCAAAAACAGTTTTTTGTATTGTTTGGGAATAAATACTAATAATTACTGGTGTGTAGGATTACCTAATTGAATTTTATTTGCCCCTTATTAAATTTAAAAAGTATCCACTTTTAACTTGGAATCCTAAAATTCATTTATATAATAAACATCGAATAAATAAGTTATTTATTTTTTGGGCGATGGTGGCATATTATGTCCTGGTTTTTTATTATAGAAAGTTGGTCACATTACAAATATAATCAAATAACAAATAAATTTTACAAATTTGTCATATATTAAGATATTATAAAAAACTACTTTTAATAATTTATAAAATTAAAATATTCCTGCAGAGTATAACTAAATAAATGTACAGTAAATTAATCTTTTTTAAATAGCGGTTAAAGGCATATATTACACTAAAGCGTTTGTTTCTATATGTTTTATAGAAAAAAAATTGATAGTTATCAAATTCATAATTAATTTTGTAACCTACCAATGTAACGGCTAGATTTTGACTAAAGCCATATAAATAAAAAGCGATTACGTGTATGCACACATGGGCGCCGGCAGATAATAATCCAGGGGGAAACAAAAAAGTTACGTGAAATGGGGTTGGGATATGCAATTTTGTATTGCATATTTTGAATCTATAAATAGTGTATACACATACGAGTGTGCAATTAAATGCTTTCTTACGTTTTCAAACGATTTTTGAGAACGCTACAGCGTTTTAAAAATCGCAAGATTTAAAACGCTTCGATGGCCTTAAAGAGAGATAGAAAAATTATAAATGAATCCAACATAAGTTTCTAGCATGGTTTCCAAAGTTTTTTTAATCGGAATTTGGGTGTTTAGTTGGCAAATTCTAGGGACCCTTAACTTATAATTGGCTACATTGCGTAAAACAAAATTATTTAGTAGATTTATGCAGCACAAATTAATTATTTCATGCTGTTTTGTTTTTAAAATTCCCTCGTGAAATTTCACACCCAACTTTTATTATTAAAGTGGGAATATAAAAGTTAAAAAACTTAAATTGATATGATTTAACTTAACTGTAAATAAAAAAAATTGGTTTTAAACTGAAAAGATAGGTTGGAATAATTTGTATTAATTTTAATTAATTTTGTCAAAAATAGGCGTTTTTCAAAAAATAATAATACTGACTTTAAACAAGCTTTTATTATAATAGTTATTATTATAACTTTGTTAAAAATTATCGGATCTTATTGATTTAAAAACCAAGTAAAAGCCTAACAAACCCTCTTTCAGAAAATGTTTGTTTAGTTATTTCAGAATATTTTTTTTTTAATTTTGAAACTTGTGAAACACACATTTTCGCATGTCCCATTAGCGTTTCATAAAACTTAGTTACATGTTTTTTTTTAAATATTGAATAACCAGAACTTTGTGTTGCTTTATAGCAATCCATAACATCCTTAGTACAGTAAACAATTTATATATAAATTAATTAATTCTTGTCCCAGACATTTTTTCCGTTGCGTTACGTCCGTCGCGTTACCGATAGAATATTATAAAAACATATATATGGCAACCTTTTTGGCACTCACGTAATTAAAAAATGATGTTCGGACGTACACATTACCCAACTGAATTTATTTATTCAATCAGAAAGAAGATATCGGTTAAAACAGGTGCGGGTAAAGCGAATGTAATAATTATTTGTCCGCTAAGTTACTCAAAAAAAAATAAAAGGTAAGAAAACATACTATTTTTCATGTTTATGTTTATTTTAGGGCACTAAAGCTCATTGAGAGTAATTAATGACTGTAATGTCTTATTATTATTTTTTAAATATGGTTTCACAAAACTTTTTCCACTGCGTTACCGATTCCATTATGTTACCTTATTGTAACGCAATGGAATTTAGGGTAACACAATAGAATTTTTCGACAACAAAGTGGATATTTACCGTCGCTTTTATTAAAAGTAGTTTATGATAAACTACTACAACTCATGATATAGATTATATCCAAGGGAAAATTCCACGCAATAAGTACTAAAAGTGACGCAAGACCTTCACCAGCTTATAGTCAAAGAAAAAGGGTGTCTTCAATTTAGAAATCTAAGTTGTTATTGTGCAAGTGAGCAACACTACAAGGGATTTTGTTTATGCATTACTCTAAAATCGTACCACCCTATATAGTATCTTTTTTACGATATCTGATTAAGTGCTTTGTGTACCCCAGTCCGTTGTGATACCAATGTCTATTTCGTTACTGTTTTAGTTTTTGTTAAAAAAAATACTTAAAATGATTTTTATACACTATCACTTGGTAATACGTGTTTATAAATTATAGTTTAACTCACTAATACTGTGACTAAAAGAAAATATTAATGGTATTGTTTTTTTAACAAAGAATCGGAATGGTTTCTTTTAAAAAGTAACTTAACGAATTTAAATATTTAAAAAAGCATACAATTTTTAATAAAAATAAAATAAAAAATTGGTAACGCAGTGGAGATATACATAAAATACTTAAAATGATTTTTATACACTATCACTTGGTAATACGTGTTTATAAATTATAGTTTAACTCACTAATACAGTGATACAGTGATAACACAATAATATCAAGATTGGAAAAAGGAAGAGTATTTAAATATGTAAGAAGTTCGTCAAAGTTCTTACTTAAGGACCTTATATTAAAATGAATGATATTAAGCAATCTATTAGATTTTATTACCTCTTTACAGTTTTCAATATCCGACACAATTGTAGTTTCAATACTCCTCTCCCTCTCCTCATTCTCTAACTCATTCATAAAATTAAGTATATAAAAATCGAAATCACAAATTAAAATAATATGATTAAATATTGAACCTATATAACTCATTAACGCTCGTGTTTATTTATTATTAAATGTAAAAGAAAGCGTTATAAAACATTATCAAAATTAGGTTTATTTCTAAATTTTCATTACCAAATTAATTAAAACTATATATAATAACCAAATTTAAATCTGTTCTTTAAAATATCAAGTAAATTTAAATTAAATATGCAATTTTTTCTTTCTTTCTTTTCTTTTAATTTTGTTCTTCCTCCTCTTCTATGGTTTCATCTTTTTGATTTTCTATTTCTTCTGCAAGCTCCAAAACTTTTTCGATATTGTCAATTTTTATTTTTTTATCTCCTATTTGGGCATAAATATTTCCATTCAGTGGCCATACATTTTTATTACCAAGTTTCATTTGGGCCTCTTGATAAATTTTTAAATAATGTTTTGTAAGATCCTCCGTTATAAAAATCTTGGTACCTTTAAGAATATTCCTTTTTTTTGATTATTATTTGTTTGTCTGGAACGGAGGTAAATTGTACAATGACTGGTCTTGCCTTTTCTTTGTTTTTTTCCGATTCTATACGCCATATTAATTGTTTTCTCTAACCCCTATTTGACAAAATTTGTGTTTAAAAAAATTTCTAATCTGTGTTAAGGTGTTTGCCTGATTATTTTCTTCTTTAAGTCCATATAAACAAATATTTTTAGATTTTTCGTTTGGTTACAGTTTGTTTACTTTATTTTCGAGATCAGCTGTTTTGTTTCTATTGGTTTTTACATCGTTTTCCAACTCTGATATTTTTTGTTGAAGTGTATCACTGACCTCGATAATTTTACCAATGGAATTTTCTTCACTTAATAACCCTGTAATACCTTTTTTCACAATAGATTTAACATCAATTTTCTTCTCATTTTGTGTAGTTTTTGGTGGCATTCTGGAAACTGCACTAGTTTAACACTGTTAGCAAACTTATTATACACTATTGAACTGTTTTTCTTCTTTTTTATTACTATTTATTATTAACTTTATTCACGAGCGATATGAATGCGTGTTAGTCGTAATGCGCCATCATACGGTGATTTTGATTGAAAACCGTATTAATCAATGAAATTGAGAGCATCAATTTTTAAGTGGCACACTTGAAAAATTTTGAGCCTGCCATGGATGTGTAAACATTTGAGTTTGGGGTATGCAAATTCGTTTTTTATCATTATTCTCGAATGCGCTAGAGTTATATGGTAAATGGTAATGTTTCTCTACATTTCTTCATCCGATTCTAAAGATTTAAGGTATACGATATTACTAGGTGTTAACTGGTTAACCGTTTGACTGACACTGACATTGATTGTTTCCGCACTTTTGTTATATACTGCTGTAGCTGCTGCTGAGCCTTTAAATGAGCTCTTATCGTGATAGTTTCTCCTCGAAAAATGAGCAAGTCACCATCCTGGTCGACTATTTTAAAGGTTATATTATTGATTAAATACTTACTTTCATTATGTCAACTGTTTTTTTTTTAAGTAAGTTCAGTATTTTTTGTAAGTTTTTCTTTATGAAAACCCAATAAATCTCCAATTGAATTGCTGTTTGTAAAATCAATATCGTGAGTAGATTTTATTTCGCATTTTAGTGTATTTAAATTCGCTGTTAATGATAAGAATAAATTTTCATTTGTTGTTTTATTTAAATCATTGATTTTTTAATTAAAAAACTGTTAATGTTATCAATATCATATGTTCCTTCGGGAATTTTAATTTTATGCGAGCCAATGTAAAACATATTTTTATCTTTATAAATATTTGGTATAAAAATCATTATCAAAATATCTTAAATCTGTCGGTGGATATAAATCAGCACTCAAAACGGATTCCGTCCCCGAAAAACTGAACGACCTCATTGATTAAATGCCACTATTTCACTAACGTTTATTTACAAGATTATGAATAATTATATAAAAATTGCAAACATAAATGTCCACAGTTAAAAGAATTATAATTACAAACTGCGTATGATTGTATGTGATTTGTACGGGTTGTTAAGTTAGTAGTGTAAAAATACGATACAGCTTTTATTGGCGGTATAATATTACGAAAATTATTTTTAATGTATTCCAATTGTTTGATTTTATGTGGCAAATCGCCCTGCATAAACACTCCGCGAAAATTTTTTAGCATATTTATTTAAATCGATATTTGTTAGAGCTCGTTTTGGTAATCTTCCTATAGAATTTTTTTTGGGTGTGTAGTAAGAATCGGGAATTTTGTACTGTTTTAATTGCTATCCCTTCCCGATAGCTATTGCCTCCATTTTTTCATTATGTCGTTGTTTTTCTTTAAGATCTTCTTGTGCCGATTTTGCTTAATTAACGGCACTAGCGATTGAGCCAGCACTTCCGGCCTAAGCTCCAAGGGCACTAAATCCCGAAAATAATGGAATTAGTGGTAAAAAACCACCGGTTTTTGGTAAAGCAATTATGCGAGCAAAGTGCTCTTTTTTCATACCTTTAACAGCTTTTGCAGCAATATTAATTGCGGATCAAGTCAATACGTCAGTCAAAAAAGTCAAATTTTTTGTAAAAGAATAAAAATGTTGGAAAAATATAGTATTTAACTGACTTGTCACTGAAACTAAATTGCAATAATTTATTTTTTGCTGACGATTTGAAAATATTTACCAGTATTTCTGATACTACTGATTGCGACCTATTTCAGCAACAATTGAATATTATTCTTAGATGGTGTGAAGTTAACAAACTCGATCTTAATGTATCTAAATGTAAAATCTGTAGTACAGTCTTAAAAATACGCCCATTACATTTAATTACACTTTAAATAATACCATCCTTTCACGCTGTCATAAAATTCGGGACCTTGCAGTGGCGGCTGGTGGATTTTAAGTATACCAATATCTCAGTTATTAGACATGGGACCCACACCAAATTTATAATAGTTTATATTGACATTAAATAAACAAGTTCGGCGCAAACAGATTAAAAAACTTTTTTTCGCAAACTTCAATTTAAATTCTGTTTGCGCCGAACTTGTTTATTTAATGTCAATATAAACTATTATAAATTTGATTTTAGATAATTCAAATTAAAGTGGTGCAATTTATTATCTACTATAATTTATCGCCAAATTTAAAATTTTATTTAAAAAATCCAAATATTACAGTTTTTATACCATTTTAAATATTTTTTTATTTTAATAAAATAAATAATAAAAATTTAAAATCGAATAAAATCTGTAATATTTGGATTTTTTGAATAAAATTTTAAATTTGTCGATAAATTATAGTAGATAATAAATTGCACCACTTTAATTTGAATTATCTCAAATAGGGGGGGCTGGAGGCAGGGTAGGCGACAGGAAAAACTAACTTTTTTTCGCAAACTTCAATTTAAATTCTGTTTGCGCCGAACTTGTTTATTTAATGTCAATATAAACTATTATAAATTTGGTGTGGGTCCCATGTCTAATAACTGAGATATTGGTATACTTAAAATCCACCAGCCGCCACTGGGACCTTGGTGTATTTTTTGACAATAGGCTCTCATTTACACTCATGTCAATAACACTGTTAAATCTGCTTTGAAGCTTTTAGGTTTTATAAGTCATCAAAGCTCTAAAATCACTGTTTTATTATCTCATTAGAACAAAACTTGAATATTGCTCTCTCATCTGGTATCCGCATTAAAACGTACATATTGACTATATCGAAAAGATACAAGGAAGATTTTTAAAATTGCTTTCCTACAGAATTGATCACGTCCATCCCGCTGGAGGATATGATCATAATATCCTATAGGATATATATTATATAGATTTAACATTAAAACCCTTTTAGTTGGGCGCAAAGTTATAAGCAAAGCGGATTTTAGGCCCTTAAAAATTGGAAATTGGGACGCATAAATAAACAATAAAAACCTACATTTTAGGCCGTTTTAGACCGAAAGTGCATAAAATAAGCCTCAACCGCCTAAAATAGGCGATATGAAATAAAAACAACACGATTAAACATAACATTTATTCAGGTCCTATCAATAAAAATAAAACAAAAAATACATATGTATACATATAGATATATCTCTTAAAATCAAAAACATAATAAAAATAATAACACGAACTCTCGCAAATAACTGCCCGTATAAATAAAGAAAAGGAAAAATATTGTAATAAATAGGCGACGCTGAAAAAAAAATATAAACAAATACAAACAAAAGCACGAAACGTTGAATCAAAAGGTTGTCAAAAATATACTTACATATACTTACTGGTAAGTATATGTTGACAAAGTTGGCTTTAGCCATCTATTGTCTTTATAGAAAAACTATTTACTACCTGTAAATTGTGGAGAGTTATATAATTATGCCCTAGATGGCGACAAAACAGTTAAAAAGTCTGAAATTACCATATATGTAATACATATATGGAAATTACAGTAAACCTATGAAAACAAAGTAAATAATAATTTTTAAGCATTATTTTACAAACTTAATACTTTAGGTTAGGTACTTTACTTTAGGTTTTCACTAGTTTTGTAATTTGTGGTCCTCGTACTCGCCAAGGGCATCTAGGCGAAATAAGAGCATGAAAGCAGGGTCTTATTAAAAATAATTTACTTTTCCGCAATTAGGCTCATAAGAATGTCCTTTTAGGACAATAAATCAAAATTTCGCCTTTATTTATTTTTCTAAGTTTAGGATTAATTTCAAGGTCCCAAACAAATGCCTAAAATAGAAACAAAAAGACATTTTGCCTAAAATCCGGTCCTTGGTTATAAGTTTAAAATTTTTGTGGAAACTTTTTAATAATCAGATTGACTCTAGTCACATTTTAGGTATTATTAATATGAAAATCTTTTATTGTAGTTTTTCGTGAACCAACGTTCATTTAAAATCTCCAGTACAGTATATATATATATATATATATATATATATATATATATATATATATATATATATATATATATATGTATATATATATATATATATATATATATATACCTATAAATGGTATGTTTTGAAGCCCGGAGACGGATGGGTCGCTTCGGAGCCCTGCAGTTGCTAGTGGTTTAGGCGTGTATACTTATCTTCTATCTCATTTAAATCATTAAAAACCTATAGAGGGGAAAGACGAGGGGTAAAGATTTCCCTATAGGATTGTCGGTAGAAACATTGTTGTTCTTGTAAAGCCCAAGCACAGGGCCGAGCCGTGCCGGGGGTGCAAGGGGTGCATGGCACCCGGGCGGCACTAACACAGGGCGGCAAAATATCATCAAAATAAAAAAGCCACCTTGCAATATGCAAAAAACTTTCTAAAAATCATTTGCGTTTTATTGATGTCGGCGTATCAAGGAATCATCGTTTTTATTCTACACATAAAAACAATGCCAAAATTGTGCTGTCAGGCGGCAATGATAAAAAAGACATAACCGAACGCGCGATAGCCCCAAAAAATAATGATGACAATTTTCTTAAAGCCCGGTTTATAGATTGCCGCCCGCCCGCTTCGCTTTCCGTCCGTCCGCTTCGAGTTCGTCAAGTTTCATGTTTTACGGAAGCGGGCTTACGGGAAACCAATCAAATCGCGCGCTGTGTACCACGTGATATTGTTTACAAGCTGAACTGTTAAGTTAAAGCAAAATTTCTTCCGATTTGACGGCTGCGTATTTCAGCAGTTTTTAGTTTTTCTATTAACGTGAGGCAAATAAGATTCAAACATAGTAGTTTCTTTTGTCTTTTAATGCGTTAAAAACTATTTAATGATTTAAAAGGCATCTTTCCGAATTTATTTGTAGCTTTAAGAATATTTTTGACGATCCCATGGAGAGCGGTCATTTTCGAAATTAAAACTAATTAAGACCTATTTAAGATCCAATATGAGTCAATTCAGGCTTTCAAATTTAGCAATTATAAGTATTGAAGAAGATATT